TATCTAGAGAAAGGTTCTAATTATGATTAGGACCGTTTTGGAACCATTTTATCATGTCAAACTTGGCACTGATCTCTAGATTTTTCATACATTTTGACAGCTCCCCGACGATTGGCTCCTGTTTACCCTGGAACGGTTGCACCGTCACAAAAACGACGTCATCGCTGACAGTTCAGCAGAATCAACAGTTTGCGGTATTTGAAATATTTGAGATATGAGTAATACGCAAGTAACGCGATACGGTTTGCTGTGCTGGTTTGATGGAAAAATCAGGTGGCCAGCATTATCTTTCAACATTAGTGAGTTGTGTTCAGATCTTCTGACCGATAATTCACTATATACTTACATGCGTCCTTCATTGCTCATTTTCCTTATCATTGAAAGGTAAGTACCAAGGAAATTGTCATTGTTGTCATTATGATCTAAGACTGAAAAAGATTTAACAGCTGAATTGTATCTCAAAATTTTGATATTCCCAGGCTGTTTCTGATCGTGCAGTCTAAGGATCATATTTTCATTTTCTATCTAATAAGTATGATCGTTTCTAACAGACTTTAATGGTTACTAGGTTTCAGACTGCAGTAAAGGGGCATAGTATGACTCTGAAAGGCTGCCTACAGCTGTACTTTTCGGCTGTCGCCGCCGCTTCACTTTATTGATATTGGTCTCGCAGCATTGATCATAGAACGATTGCTGCGTACATTTGAAACAGGGTATTTCATATAAAATAAACAGTCTCCTGTAAATTCTCCGGCTTTCATACTGCTGAAGAATACCGTTCCGTAGCCTTCTAATAGCAAAACAATTTGCTAGTAAGCCCATATTGTCGGAGTTATTTTCGTTTCTGAAGGGAAAGTATTGAATGCTATTATTTGTACATTTCTAGTAATTTCTTATTTCCCGTAACGTTTCTGTCACGACCTTTTGTCTTCATTATTTTGCTCTCGCTGTTCATTAGCAAATAATCGGCCTGTATAGTGAATCTCTTAGTCAGAAACTCCAGCTACTTGAAGGCTTGGTAGTGGTGCTCGAACCTGCTCTAGTAGATTCAGGCGGTAATGTTGCCATGCACTGTCCAGTGATATACTTTTTGCGACCTAAATCCCACCAAATTTTTTTCTTCTGTGAATGAACGCTGGGATACGTTAGCAATAGTTCACGAGGGTTGACATCCAGAATAGATGACCGAAGAATTACTTGCCAAAAAATGTTTAAGGTGGATTGAATACTAATAAAAATTGTGGATGACCGTTATGACGTTTGTAGCGCCTCGAAAGATGAACGACACATTTTCAGCGGCTACTAAAATGTTTCTCTGCGGATATTTTTCTTGCCACCATGAACTTGCTTCCAAAACCAGACGTCAGTATTGCGTTTCCTCGCAAAACTGGAAATCCAAGAAGCTTCACATCTCGTGATGAAAAAAGCGTTTGATCTAGATCACATTTTGCGGATATGGTAGAAAAGCTCTGCCTGTTTCATAAAATCTGTACTTTTAAATATTTTCAGATGAATGAAATTGCCAGCTAATTTTCCCTGTATTAAAATGGGATGGTCAGTCGTTATTATGCTGCTGTGATCACCAGGAAAGTTAGAGAGAGTTTGTTCCTAAATCAGGCATATTTTTTGCTGAAGTACCTTAGTTTGACTAAATTTTCACTCCTGAATCACCAGCAGTGCCGATGATTTCAGCCGCATTAATTTACCACTTCCTAATATCAGTCTGAAGTACAATTTCTAAATATTATAAATCTGGATAACTCTGCTGTTTAAGCGCTCTTAACTGCAGATGACGATAACAAAACAACAACAGTTTGCCACTTCTTCGATTTTCGAAGAATTCATGATTCAGTGCATCGTCAAGTGATATGGAAAATCATGAAATATTGTGGGAACCCTGAGCAGGTGATTTTTATGTTTTGAAAGGAATTATGAAAATGTATCTGCTATTAAAGTCATTGAATGGATATTATAGTCTTCTTCTATTAAAGTCCGCCAATTAAGTGCACTTTCGTTTTTCCTGTTTAATGTTATTCTGAGTTTCACCTTCGAAAGAGTGCTGAATTAGGCAACGACGAATGTCTGATTCAGTACGGGAGGTGTGGTTTAAAATTCTTCGCTGAAAATTTAATGAATCATTTATAAAATCGTCACCATAAATAGTGCTCGATCCAAGTCTTGTCATGTGTTTCCTTTCGTTTGCTTTTATGGATGTTAAGCATGAGCTACTAATCTACTGATTAAGTAACGTAAGATTTCGTTTTCGGTCCCAAGCGTTGGTTCAAGTTATCGACAAATCATTATACAAAACAGGGTCGCACCGCTGAGGCTTTTATGTTGTTATTAATTTTCATATTTATCAGCGATAAGAAGCTTGCTCCTTTGCTCGTCGTTGCTTCCTTTTTCAGCTTCACTGCTATTTTACTTTCCTGTTCCGTCAAGGTGAGGTTTCGTTGACTAACAAACTCAGCTTGGCTGCTGCTGCAGTTTGTCATCCT